CCCCTCGCCATGCTGAAAATGCCCCTCGGGTGGTCTGCAGCTTTTTTGAGAACTCGGCCTCCTGGGGCCAGGGAAGGACCCGAGGACCGTCAGGCACGACTCGAGATGAGAGCCGCTCCTGGGTACATCCCCAGGGTTCCAGTATGGGCCCCCCATTAAAAAAGGCTCTCGCTGGGCCTGTGAAGCCTCCGGAACTCGGATGCCCTCTTTCCCTGGGTCCCTCTCTCCCTCTATTTAGTATCTCTCGTTTTTTTTTTTTATTCTCTCTCTCTCTCTCTCCCTCTTCTCTCTCTCTCTCTCTTTTTATTATATATATATATAAAGTCAGTTTTTTTTTAATTCCCAAACCAGTTTTAAATTCAAGAAACATTCCCCCCGTCTCCTCCTCCTCTCGCGGCTGTCGAAGGCGATGGCGACGACGAGGGCGACTACCACTGCGACTGCGACGAAGGGGATGACTGCGACGACGATGGCGGCGGTGAGAGGGAAGAGGAGGGCGAGGGAGGATGCAGGACGAGGAGGGGGGAGCGGAGCTGAAGGAGGTGCGCCGCTCTCGGAGGAGCAGGCGCTGAGCCTCGCGAGACCTCGCAGGCCACTGCCAGTGGCAACGCGCCCAGCCCCGCAGCTTTTTGCTCTCGAGCGCTCGGGCGATCAGCTGCGGGCCTTGGCCGACATCCGGCGACGACGACGACCACGACGACGACGACAAAGACGACAAAGAGGATGAAGACGACGACGACGACGAAGACGACGGCGACGACGACGGCGACGAAGAAAATGACGACGGCGACGGTGACTGCGACGAAGAACATGACCACGGCGACGGCGACGACGGCGACGACGTCGACCATGACGCCGACGACGGCGACCACGACGCCGCCGACGACGACGAAGACAACAAAAATGACGGCGACGACGACGAGAAAGACGACGACGACAGCGACGGCGACAACGAAAGTGACAACGACGGCGACGGCGACGGCGACGGCGACGGCGACGGCGACGGCGGCTTCGTTTGCGACAGCGACGGCGACGAACATGACGACGACGACAACAACGACGACCACGACGCCGACGACGACGCCGACGACAACAACAATGAAGACGACGACGAAGACGACGACGACGATGACGGCGACGACGACGACGACGGCCACGGCGACGACGATTGAGATGACGACGACAGCGACGGCGACGACGACGGTGACGACGAACATGACGACCACAGCGATGGCGACGGCGACGGCAACGGCGACGACGATGGCGACGACGACGACCACGGCGCCGACGACGACGACGAAGACAACAACAAAGATGACGACGAAGACGACGACGACAGCGACGGCGACGACGACGACGAACATGACGACGGCGACGGCGACGGCGCCGGCGACGGCGACGGCGACGGCGATTGCGACGACGACGACGAAGGGGACGACCACGACGCCGACGACGACGACAACAAATATGAAGACGACAGCGACGGCGACGACTGAGACGACGACGGCGACGACTAAGACGAGCCGACCACGACAGCGACGACGACGACAACAAAAATATGTCGACGGCGACGTCGACGGCGACGGCGACGGCGTCTGCGACGGCGACAGCGACGGCGACGGCGACGATGACGACGACGACAGCGACGGCGTCGACGTCGACGTCGACGACGACAACAACAAAGATGAAGGCGACGACGACGAAGGCGACGGCGACATCGACGGCGACGGCGACGAGGACGAAAATGACGACGGCGACGGCGACGACGAAAATGACAACGACGGCGACGGCGACGGCGACGGCGACGGCGACGGCGACGGCGGCTTCGTTTGCGACAGCGATGGCGACGAAAATGTCGACGACGACAACAACGACGACCACGACGCCGACGACGACGACGACCACAACAACAATGAAGACGACGACGAAGACGACGACGACGATGACGGCGACGACGATGACGACGGCCACGGCGACGACGATTGAGATGACGACGACAGCGACGGCGACGACGACGGTGACGACGAACATGACGACTACGGCGATGGCGACGACAACGGCAACGGCGACGACGATGGCGACGACGACGACCACGGCGCCGACGACGACGACGAAGACAACAAAAAAGATGACGACGAAGACGACGACGACAGCGACGGCGACGACGACGACGAACATGACGACGGCGACGGCGACGGCGCCGGCGACGGCGACGGCGACGGCGATTGCGACGACGACGAAGGGGACAACCACGACGCCGACGACGACGACAACAAATATGAAGACGACAGCGACGGCGACGACTGAGACGGCGACGTCGACGGCTAAGACGAGCCGACCACGACAGCGACGACGACGACAACAAAAATATGCCGACGGCGACGGCGACGGCGACGGCGACGGCGTCTGCGACGGCGACAGCGACGGCGACGGCGACGATGACGACGACAGCGACGGCGTCGACGTCGACGTCGACGACGACAACAACAAAGATGAAGGCGACGACGACGAAGGCGACGGCGACATCGACGGCGACGGCGACGAGGACGAAAATGACGACGGCGACGGCGACGGCGACGATGATTACGGCGACGGCAACAGCAACGGTGGCGGTGATGACGACGACAGTGACGGCGACGACAGCGACTGCGACGAGGACGATTACGGCGACGGCGACAGCGACGACCGATGACGGCGAAGGCGATGGTGGCGGGGACGGCGACGGCGACGGCGACGAAAATGACGACGATGGCGACGGCGACGGTGACGGTGACGACGACGCAGGAATGACGACGACAGCGACGGCGACGGTGACGGCGACGGTGACGGCAACGACAAGGACCACGACGACGCCGACGACGACGACGACGACGACGACCACGACGCCGACGACGACGACACCGATGACGACGACGTCGACGACGACAATAATGATGAAGACGGCGACGACGAAGACGACGACGACAGCGACGGCGACGACTACGACGACGACGAAAGTGACGACGACAAAAGTGACGACGACGAATGTGACGTCGACGGCGACGGCGACGGCGACGGCGGCGCTGTTGGCGATCGCCACAACGACGACGACGACGGCGACGACGGTGACGACGACGATGACGACAACAACGACGGCCGCCGCCGACGTTGACGGCCGCCGCCGATGACGCCGTCGGCGACGACGACGACGCCGACGACGTTGACGACGACTACGGCGACGAGGACGACGACGACGACGACGGCGACGGCGACGGCGACGGCGACGGCGACGGCGACGACGACGACGGCAAAGACGAAGACCACGACGACGACGTCGACGTCGACGACAACAACAATACATAGTAAGGCGACGACGACGACGGCGACGTCGACGGCGACGGCGACGAGGACGAAAATGACGACGTCGGCGACGGCGACGGCGACGGCGACTACGACGATTACGGCGACGGCGATGGCAACGGCGACGGCGACGAGGACGACGACGGCGACCAATGACGGCGACGGCGATGGCGGCGGGAACGGCCACGGCGACGGCGACGAAAATGACGACGACGGCGACGGCGACGACGACGAAGAAATGACGACGACAGCGACGGCGACGGCGACGGCGACGACGACGACGATGACGACGCCGACGACGACGACGACGACGACGACAACGACGACCACGACGCCGACGCCGACGACACCGACGACCACGACGCCGACGACGACAACAACGATGAAGACGGCGACGACGACGACCACGACGGCGACGACGACGGCGGCGACGACGGCGACGACGACTACGAAGGTTGCCGCCGACGTTGACGGCCGCCGCTGACGACGCCGTCGGCGACGACGACGACGCCGACGACGTCGACGACGACTATGGCGACGACGACGACGACGACGACGACGACGGCGACGGCAACGGCGACGGCGACCGCGACGACGACCACGACCACGACGCCGCCGACGTCGACGACAACAACAATAAAGATGAAGGCGACGACGACAAAGACGACGGCGACATCAATGGCGACGGCGACGGCGACGACGACGACCACGGCGACGGCGACGACGACGACGACGACGACTACGACGACGGCGACGACGACGACCAATGATGGCGACGGCGATGGCGGCAGGTTCGGCGGGTTCGGCGACGGCGACGAAAATAACCACGATGGCGACGGCGACGGCGACGGCGACGACGAAATGACGACGATGGCGACGGCGACGGCGACGGCGACGACTACGGCGACGGCGACGGCGACGAACGACGACGCTGACGACGCCGAAGACGACAACGACGACCAAGACGCCGACGACGACGTTACCGACGACCACGACGCCGACGACGACAACAAAGATGAAGACGGCGACGACGAAATACGACGACCACGGCGACGGCGACGACTACGACGACGCCGAAAATGACGATGACGAAAATGACAACGACGACGACGAAGATGGCGACGGCGACGGCGACGGCGACGGTCACGACGTCGACGACGACGACCGCGACGGCGTCGACGACGACGACTTCTTCTCTCCCGAGGTGTGGACAAATTCCCGGGGGCCAGCTTCTCATCCCGAGTCGTGCTTTGACGGCCCCAGGGCCCGCTGAGGGCCGCGGGAGGCCGAACACGGCCAGAAGCCAGCCGCTCCAGCTTCTCTTGGAGAGGCGGCGGAGGCAAAGCCGAGGCCACGGGACCGGGGCACGGCACATGGCGCGGCTGTTGCCGCTGCTGGGGCTGCTGCGCGCGCCCGCGGCGGCGCCGGGCCGGCCCGCGCAGGCGGGGGCGCCCCTTGCCGGATCTCCGGCGAGATGGAGGGGGCGTTGGTTGCGCGCCAGTCGTTGAACGTAGTCATTTCTGGACTCCTGGATCCCCATCTGCTTCAAGCGCCTTCCTACTGCAAGAACCGATCTGCTTTTGCTGTGTCCTGTTATTCTCTCGGAGGGCCTGAGGCCATTCTACTTGCTCCGCCGTCCGACCTCATGCTTTGACCTATTTCTTCCGACCGACATGCAAAGAATGTGCCCCCAGAGATCCGAGGCGTCGAAACAATTGAAGCGGCTGGTTTTTGGCGATGTTCTGCCTCCGAGGGCCCTCGACGGGCCCCAGGACCGTCAAAAAGTGATGCAGGATGAAAACTTGACTCGGCCCTGGGGAAGTGGTCCAGACCTCCCGGGGGGCCCACGCATCGACAAAAATGGAGCGCCAGAAGTCAGGGCAGTGGGGACGCGCATCAAGTACGGTAGGTTCGCGTCGTGTCGATTGGCGGCGACCCCGCCGCCGCCGTTCGGTCGATGCTGAACGAACTGACGTTTCAGAAACAGCTGATCGCTCAAGGTTGAACGATCCCCGCGGTGTCGGGAACCAACGACGAAGTCGGCACGACACGAACCTGCGGTAACCGAATTCTTTCCGTCAGGGCAGCCTAGTTCTCTTCGTTCCGCGCACCGAGTGGTGATTTTCCGCGGTCGGTGCTCCTCCTCCTCCTCCTCCTCCTCCTCCTCCTCCTCCTCCTCCTCCTCCTCCTCCTCCTCCCCCTCCCGATTGCGTCTCGCTCCTGCTGGTTTTCAGACCTGAGCTCCCTGCGAGGGTCTCTTGTGGCCGCGACCGCGCTGTAGGTGACGAGGGCGGCGGTGGTACCCACGTAGGGGGAGCGTGAGACCCGGGTTTGCCAGGACTCGGGTTCGCCATCGTTTTTTGACGACCGCGCCTCGGATTTTGACGAGGAGGAGTTTCGTGGGATGTCTGCAGCGGGAGGCCTCGTCAAAATGCAGGCTCGGCCTCGTCATTTTTTTGACGACCTCGTCGGGTATTTCCGAGTCCCCTGTACCCAGGTCTTACGTCCCCCTGACCATGGCCGAGCCTCAGTTGGAGTCCACCGGCTTCCAGGCCCTGGATTCCTTCTCCACTGGTTCCTGATCCCAGTGCTCGGAGGCTGGCAGACCTCCTGCCCCGACGCGCCGATCAGTGAAAGGGCCGTCTTCGGTCCGCGAGAGGCGCCGCGGCCGTCATGTTTGCGGGTCCAGGTCCGTCGGTTTCGGTCCCAGGCCGTTTTTATTAAGGGGAGGTCTACTAAAGGGAGGTTTGTCCACCGCCGATTGAGGTCCGAGCAGATGGAGTCGGAGGATCCCGCCTCATCACCGATGCATCGGCCATGCGGTTCGATGTGGTGTCCGATCCTCTGTACGCCGACGTCGCCGATGCAGGTCCTAGGTCGTGTTCACTAAATGGAGGTTGCTGGAGGGAGTTCTTCTCCGCCGCCGAGATGCCCTCGCCGCGTGGCTTTCTCCGCGGGCGGCCGCTTCCCTGGTTCCCCAGGGTCAGGTCGGGCCTGTGCCTCTACAGGGGGAAAATTCAAAAATAGTCAAAAAAGTGGTCTGGGGACGATGTTTTAATATTTTGGGTGCAATTATATCTATATATATATATACATCTCAAAAAATTACCCCAGTGCGACCCTACCTAGAAGTTGGAGCCCCTAGGAAAGCAGCATTAGTTGCTATGCTATGCTATGCTATGCCAGGCCATGCCATGCTATGCTGCGCTATGCTATGCTATGCTATGTATTGTATGATATGCTATGCTATGCTAAGCTATGCTATGTCATGCTGCGCTGTGCTATGCTAAGCTATGTTATGCTATGATAATGCTATGCTAAGCTGCGCGATGCAATGCTATGCTATGCTATGCTACGCTACGCTATGCTATGCTATGCTCTGGTTCGCCTGGGACATCTTCGATGGGGCTCCGAAGTGTCCAGACTTACGGTGGTCCAGCCAATCTTGCCTGCGACAACCTCGCCACTCGGAGCTCACGGATGCCGCGCAAGAGGTTGCCCAGCCAATTGCGCCTGAGACATTCTCGCAACACCAGGGCTCGAAGATGCTGCACGCGAAGTGGTCCGACCAAGTTCGCCTGAGACATCCTCGCACGGCGCCGTCGTCGCCGTCGTCATTGACATCGTAGCCGTCGTCGTCGTCTCCGTCGTCGTCGTCTTCGTCGTCGTCATCACCGCAGCTGTCCTCGTCGTCGCCGCCGCCGCCGAAGCCGCCGCTCTCGCCGCTGTCGTCGCCGTTGTCTTGGGCATGGTCGTCGTCGTTGTCGTCGTTGCCGGCGCCGCCAGCGCAGCCGGCGCTGTCGTCGTCGTCGTCGTCGTCGTCGTCGTCGTCGTCGTCGTCGTCGTTGTCGTCGTCGTCGTCGTTGACATCATCGCGGCACGCGCCGCTTTCACCTTGGTGGTCGTGACAGCCGTCGCCGCCACCGTTTCCGATGATGGCGTCGTCGTCGTTGCGTGGTCGTTCTCCTCATCTTCTGCCTCGACCCCGCCCTCCTCGTTGCCTTCTCATTATCTTCCCCCTGCCTTTCCCTCCCGTCGCCGGACCCCACATGAGGTTCACAGAAAGTCTACATAGGAAATCGCCTTCGTCCCCGTCGCAGCCGCAGCGGTGGTGATCGTCGGTGCCGTCGTCGTCGACATCGCCATCGTGGTCGCAGCCGCCGCCGCTGCCGTCGTCGCCGTCGTTGCGGTTGCCCCCGCACCCGTCGTCCACGCCACCGTCGCCGTCGACACTGTCGCGTCGTCATCGTACTCGTCGCTGTCGCCTTTTTGTCGTACCGTAGTCGGCATCGCCTTCACCGTCGCCGCTGCCACGGGGCTCTTCGTCGTCGCCACCGTCGTCAGCGCCGACGCCGCCGAGGACTCTACCAAGGGAGTTCTACAATGGCGCAACGACAAAACCAGGGAATGCCCTTCAATGCTCTGCCTGCTCCTTGCGCGCGCTTGCCGCCGTCTTGGCGCCGCGGGAGCGCGTCGGCTGCCCCGCAGCGCGTGCGCTGGCTGCCCCCCGGCGGGAACATCATGTCGAATCTACTTGCCAACCACTCACCAGAACTGCTCGTCACAATCGCTCGTCAGGTCACAGGGGGGATGCGCAGATTCCTTCGACGCCTGTCAACAAAAAGCAAAACGAAAACAACAGCTCTGAGTTACAAGGATGTCTCGGGCGAGTCGAAGATCACCACAGGTCAGGACATACATGGGCCCAGAGTTGCAACGATGTCTAAGGCGAAAAATGCCCCAAGCCACGAGTTGCGAGGATGTCTCAGGCGAAACTGACAGGACCACCACACCACCACTCCTCCCTCCTCCCCTCCTTTCCCGTGCCCCGCCCCCGCCCCCAGTGGGGTGTACCACATGCGTCCGCCACACCCAGCACGGCGCTTCGTGGCCCCAGTGGTGTGTACCACATGCGTCTCCCCACCCAGGACAACGCTTCCTGGCTCCATAGGGAGGTCCACCTAAGGCCCCGTTGGTGTGTACCACATGCGTCTCCCCCACCCAGTACAACGTTTCGTGGCCCCATAGGGAGGTCCACCTAACGCCCCAGTGGTATGTACCACATGCGTCTCCCCCACCCTGTGCAGCGCTTCGTGGTCCCATAGGGACGTCCACCTAAGGCCCCAGTGTTGTGTAGCACATGCGTGTCTCCCACGCAGTACAGCGCTTCGTGGCCCCATAGGGAGGTCCACCTAAGGCCCCATTGGTGTGTACCACATGCGTCTCCCCCACCCAGTATCACGTGTCGTGGCCCCATAGGGAGGTCCACCTGCGGTCCAAGTGGTGTGTACCACATGCGTCCCCCTACCCAGTACAACGCTTCGTGGCCCCATATGGAGCCCCACCTAAGGCCCCAGAGGTGTGTACCACATGCGTCTCCCCCACCCAGTACAGCGCTTCGTGGCCCCATAGGGAGGTCCACCTAAGGCCCCAGTGGTGTGTACCACAAGCGCCCCCCCACCCCCCCCCAGTACAGCGTTTCGTGGCCCCATATGGAGCCCCACCGAAGGTTCCCGTGGCGCAGTCCGCATGCGTCTCCCCCACCCAGTACAGCGCTTCGTGGCCCCATAGGGAGGTCCACCTCAGACTCCAGTGGTGTGTACCACATGCGTCTCCCCCACCCAGTACAGCGCTTCGTGGCCCCATAGGGAGGTCCACCTAACGCCCCAGTGGTATGTACCACATGCGTCTCCCCCACCCAGTACAGCGCTCCGCGGCCCCATAGGGAGGTCCACCTAAGGCCCCAGCGGTGTGTACCACATGCGTCTCCCCCACCCAGTACAGCGCCCGTGGCCCCATAGGGGGGGGCCAACCTCAGGCCCCAACGGTGTGTACCACATGCTTTTCCCTCACCCAGTACAGCGTTTCGTGGCCCCATCTGGAGCCCCACCGAAGGTCCCCGTGGCGCAGTCCGCACGCGTCTCCTTCACCCAATATAGCGCTTCGTGACCCCATATGGAGCCCCACCGAAGGTACCCGTGGCGCAGTCCGCATGCGTCTCCCCCACCCAATAGCACGGTTCGTTGCCCCATAGGGATCACCACCGAAAAGGTGAATCACAATTGTTGTACTCACGCCTGCATATGGTTGGGCCCTTCGCCAGGCGAATTCCCAACCAGCCTTTGCTGATGGGTCCTCGTTTTGAAGAAACGGTCCCCGCGTCTCCTCCTCTTCCTCCTCCTCCTCCCTCCTCTCCTCCTCTCACGCTTCGTGGCCCCATGGGGAGGTCCACCTAAGGCCCCAGTGGTGTGTATCACATGCGTCTCCCCCACCCAGTACAGCGCTTCGTGGCCCCATGGGGAGGTCCACCTAAGGCCCCAGTGGTGTGTATCACGTGCGTCTCCCCCACCCAGTACAGCGCTTCGTGGCCCCATAGGGAGGCCAACCGAAGGCCCCAATGGTGTGTACCACATGCATTTCCCCGACCCAGCACAGCGCTTCG